ACCAGTATTTAATGGAGGTCTAATAGAAAGAAAGCACTTGTATAAGAACAGACTGGTCATTTTTTTATGAAAAGAAAATGTCTGAATATAAAATTTAATCGCAAACAATTATTAGTTTCATAGTGAACAGACAGAAGTGAAAGATTAATAATTTGGTTCTTCAAAATCTGTAAATGTCATCCTTATTTACAGATTGTATTCTGTAATAAATTGAAATAAAAATCACAAGGTTAAACAGGAATACAAAAAGTAAAATTCCTTCACTTCTTCATATAAAGAAAAAAAAAACCAAAAAAACCTGTAGAATCAGTACTTAATGGACAATCAAACAAGTTAATTTAGTTTAAGTAAGTATTTTTTTCTTTTTTTTTCAGCATTGACTTTAACTTATTTACCATTTTTATCTTATTTCACTATCTTCTGCCATCTTTCAGGCAACAGCATAATTCGATCATCACTTATTTTTTTTGACAATCAATTGCTCTAGGTGCTGTTAAGTCTTCCAAGGAGTTAAAATTTTCTTATTCAAACAATTCTGCAAAGACCAGAATAAATGGTGTTATGAAGGTTCAATTGTCTGATAAACATGATGGATGAATAGAAACTTACCAGTCAAGCTGTAACAGTATTTGACTGATCACCAAAGAAATATGCTATCTAGCATTATCCTGATGGAATATTTATACACTTTCTCTTAACTAATGCTTTTCATTAGGTGCTACTTTCACTTGGTCTAATTGGGAGCAATGTGTGTTATCCAGCAGCTCATACAAAACTGCTTTCCAATTCTACAGTACCACCATATTTGGATGAAAACTCTGTCTTTGGTATTGCTTGTTGATTTATTTCATTTACCCAAAAATCTTGTTATAAAGTATCTACTTTTCATTACCTAGCAACATTTGTTTAGCAAACGGCACATATGGTCAAATAGTTTTGTTTTTTCTGATATGGTTGTAACAGAAAGTAACCAAAATAATAAAGCTGGTTTTTATAGCTCAATATGGCTGTTACAAGTATATTGGTTATCTTGTGTGTTGTGTAGCATTCTCAAGTAATATTTTGATATCATTGCTATCAAACTAAGTGAAGCATTGTCCAGCAAAAAAATCTTCAACATGAAATTTTGTAAACTTTTGACATATTTGATCATTCACTGTACCTTAATAAATTGCACAAATATTTCTTTTGAATGGCATTTTACTTTCCTTAAGAAAAAAAGCATATGCTGAAAATATTCATTTTCTTCTATCTTCAATAAATGAAATATATCAATTTTTAAAAATGTAATTTAGTTAAATTTTCCTACTGACATTAAACACGAAACATTTTCAACAACCCAAAACTTGTTCTACAAAATCAAAATAGTCAATATCAAATGTCCTGTAAAGACACAATCAAAAAAAAGCTGAGAAAATTTAATTTTAATGAAATTTAAAAAATAAAAGCACAAAATTGTACTTGTGACATTGATTTTTTAAAATAAAAATAGATTTTAAAGAGAAATTTAGTGATTTTGCATTTTCTTCATATCATTATATAATTTTAGTTGAATAAATTGAATCACCAAATGGAAAGCAAATTTGTCAAACAATGTAACTGAAAAATCAACAAAAATAATATCTGAATGCCTCATTTAAAAAAATTATCAAATTTTAACAACACTTAACTTTCTATTTTTTATTGGATTGATGACTCAATTTATGAACAAGTTTTTCTTGAAAAAAGAAAAAAAACACCTACCTTAATTTTATTTATGTTTTAAAGAATTAAAATCAGTGAAAAAATAAAGGTTTACTGGGATTGAAATTAAGCACTACATCACATTTTGTAATTTAAAAATAATGTCAAATAGTTTTGTCTAATTTTATTTATTAAATTATAGTTTTACAAAATATTCATGTTAAGATTCTTTCAAAGAATTTCATTGAACTTTAAATATAAATTTAACTTCTTTCCACTCTTGGACATTCATGGAATGATCAGTTAATCTTTTTAATAAACACAAAAAGGAATTTATCAGTAATAAATGGTTGTTGTAATTTTCAGTGTTGCTTTTTATTTTTGTTAACAAGGTCTGAATTTAGTATGTCTGGAAGCACAGTAAGCAATAATCAACTTACTGCACCTTGGACATTCATAGCTTGTTAGTTTAACATAGCTTTGCAGTATTTCAGCTTAAAATACATAAAAAGCTTTAGCACAGTACCTATGTTGCAAAAGAAAAAATAAACTGAAAAAGTATTCATCATTTTTTTACAAAATTACAGGCATTTCTATTTTTCTGGAGTGACAGTATAAATGTGTAAAAGTAAGTTTGCTTTTTAAATTTCCAAAGTTTTTTTTTAATTTTAAATAAGAACTATATAGACTTTGTAGATGATTATGGCAGTTTTATTATTCTTTTTGATGGTATAAAAATTAATAAAGGAAAATTATTCATTCCCCTTCATATCTTTAAAAGGCTGAGGTTTGCTATAAAGGATATCTAATTAAAACTCTTGAAACAATGTACTGTTTTAGATGATTATCTAGTGGTAACAGATTTTTTGTCTGTCGTAACAAGAGACTCATGAGATTTTAATTTTAGATCTATTTGGACAGCCATATTATACAACGATGAATCATTGACTGCCAAAATTGACTGCCAAACTATACAACTTATCAGCTTACTGGCATAAAAATCTCCCTCACCATCTACTAATAATAAACTGCTATTTTTAGAAGATTTTTAAATACAGTTTAATTTTTTCTGTAGATAGTTCTCAAATAGAGTAAGTGAAGTAATTATTGACAAAAAATGCAGATTAAAAACTGTCTAAATCTTTTTTCAAGTCAAAAAAGTATTTTTTACAAAAGTATATATATTTTATTGCAAACATGATGAAAATGTTATGGAAAAAGTTTAACTATTGCAATATATTTAAGAGAAGTGCCTTCAGTAAAACATCTGTGAGAATAATATTTTTGCAAAAACGTGAAACTGAGAAAAATACATTTAAAAAAGAAGCAAACAAAATAAAGGAGATGTACCAATTTACCAGATCAAACAGAATTTGAAACAGTTTGGAAACTTGGATAAAGTTGAATTGGAACAATAATTTTTAATTCTGTATTTTTCTGGTCTTAGAATTTCTCGAGAAATTACATAATTTGAGTAGTTAGAAATCAAAAGAAAGCAGTTAACTTGCAGATGTAATATACAATAAAAATGTTCACTTGTAAACACACAATATTTTAAAGATCTATCATGATATTAATTTCTTTAAATGGAGAAAGTATATTATATTCTTGTAAATATAAATAACTTTTATTCATTTTAAATTTCCAAAAGAACTTATAAAGATTTTTTTAATTTCTGAAAATAAAACAAACAAAACTGCTTAATTACTTTAAAATCCAGCATAACTTTAAAATTTGTCATATTTTTAAAAAAGACACTTTTAAAACCATTCTTTAATAAAATAATACAAACCCTAGCAAGTATGACTACACTTTCTAGTGCTAATCTGTCAATGTGAAACCACATTCCAAAGCATTCGTTTCAGAAGATAGAAGTTATAAATTGAAGTAGGGATGGCCACCTCTACCATCATTCACTAATATATGTGGTGATTGAGAAGAATTTTAATGTCAACAAAAAAAAAAAATTCTTTTCATATTTCACAGGAACAACTTACTAGAAATGATTCCTTTCTTTTAGGCTATTTTTTGTAAAGAGTTGGGAAATAATGTCTAAAAATGATATTTCTGAAAATAATTTGCACAAAATTGGTTATTGAAAACATCTTGATATAAAGGAGCAATAAAAAGTGCAGAAAAACAATTAAGAACTTTGTGAACAATACAACTGAAAACCTACTTTACCAATCATCATCAAATTTGGTTTGAAAGGATGAGGCAGCTCCAGTTGATAACAATTTCTAACATCTGAAATACCAGTAGAAGTTAACAAGAAAATATTTATTAGCTAGCTCATATTAGAAATCATCTTAAGATGAGAGCCAATCTTTGTTTGAAGAGTTTGAAATAAAATTTCATTTGCAATGGGTTGATAAATTCTCACCTATGGTTATAGCAAATAGGAATCAGAGGAAAAACAGAGCAAATAGAGCTTTTATAACTGAAGTGAATGTTGTTGTCTGTTGATATTTGGAACAGAAAGATAAATAATGACTCCCACCAAGCAAGTGTATACATTACTATGGAGATTAGAAATGCATGAGATCCTATAATGACTGCATGTTTGTGTATGCAGAATTTCATTGCAGGCCAGACAGCTTGCTAAAAATGTAGTCAACTAACAATAAATGAATCACATCAATGATTATGTCAATTGGGCCTTGTTTAGAGGCTGTGTTTTTATTAACATTTTTGCTTTCATATCCCCTTCTCCCTAAAATACTGACATGATTAAAAGTAGATCCTTCACTGTCAAGATATTAGAGATGGAATGGGGTAAAGTGTAAAATTAGTTCTTTTCAAAAATGAGTTTGTTTTTTAGCACTCTAATCTGTTAATTCTATATGAACCCTCAAAGTCATCAAGTGTAAAGAAATGCATATTTATCTACTAAAACTCATTCTATCTGGACTGCATTATCAGAAAAGATAAAAAAAACAGTAGAATGTGCCAGCTCTGGATGTATACACTAACAAAGTGGGATCAAGAGACAGAAGGGAAAGAACAAAAGATAGAATAAGTGATTGTTCTACCAGATAGAATGCAAAAAGAAACAGGGAACATTCTCAAACTTCTCCACCTTTCCCCACAAAAGAAAAAAATAAATAAAAATAGCAGGATAAGCATTGGAAAGAACAAAAATAAGAGCAATTACACCAATGACAAACAACAAGCAGCAACATGTTGTCATATCTGCTCTAAGTGTCGTTTGGATGAGGTGGGAGGTGGAAGATGTTGATGACTATAGTAACCAGCAGTATCCACGTTGCATCTGCCTTCAATCTGTGACAAGATACATTTCACCCCATTGTCTGGTTTCAAGCCACTTGCTCATACTTGGCCTTATTGATACTCTTTGCTAAACAACAGGCAAGAATTGCTCCAAGAAGCTGAAAAAGATAAGAACATTTTTTTTTTTAAATTAAGAAAGAATGAAATCCATTCTGAACAACAATACACTTGTAAGTATTTAACATGTTAAATGAGTTGTAACACAATTGGTGTGAATTTTACAAGAAAAAGAAAACTGCATTATTTCATTAACAGCCACTCAAGACAAGCACAATTTAGCATTATTATTAACTAAAATTATTTTTTGTGGTAATTTTTTTTCCTGTTAAAATGAATATTTTCCTTTAAACTAATCTGGAAACTAGTTTGTTTGTTTTCAACTGATTCCATGTCAGTCAACCCAAAAAAGCAAGGGTACTATCTATTTTTTCTTAGAAAAAACCATACCCCAAGATTACAATTAATTTTAAGCTTTATTTTAAGAAGGGCTTTTGGAAAATGTTAAATGACAGGTATTCCTGGTTAAAAAATTCCTAATTAGCCAAGGGTGAATGTTCAGATGACATAAGTAGTGTGGTGTTATCTTTGTAGTGGTAGTGAAAAAGATGAAGACCAATGAACTTACGGATTTACACTAAAAGGGTTGTGTTATTTAGGAAAGGCTGACAGGATTGACCAGAAATACAAGGGAACATTGTAGAGAATTTGGCTCTGTTTGCTCTAGCCATAACCTTGAGATTTTCAATAGAGTTAGGATCTTCCATCCCAGACAATATCCTGTGATCATCCAACTACACAGAGACAGAAAATGGCAAGAGGGCATTGTGGAAGACAGAAAGATTACACTTTGAAAACATTGGGACCAGATCCAATGATCAGATTTAGATGATTGTTGGATAGTTTCTATAGTATTCTGTCCTGTCACAATTCTGCTTTCCTAGAGATTTTATCACATAGGAGAAAACAATAATTAAAAAAATCCAACCAACTAACCAAAGTTAAATGTGCCATTGCCTTTAACTGGAAAAAGTTAACAAGAAATCATTGTTAACACAATGTGAAATAAAGAAAGTAGTGTAATTTATGTCATTAATAAAATAGGCATGTTTCATTTTCAATATTTTAAAATTACAAGGATTTTTCTTTTGTGGTCTTCCACCTACCAATACCACCTAATGTCTATCATAGGTTATGATTTGTCACAATTACAAATTAAATTATATTAGTATTAAAGCAAATTATTTATTAGAACTAATACAAACAAGATGTTATACCTGGAAGAAGGAAATTCCCAATGCCACACCCCCAATAAGTCCAAGGTTACCATCCATGAAATCCACAACCTTCCGATAACAACCCTGGCAAAATAAACAGAGAAATATTTAATGTCAGTATTTATGTTTACTTGAAATCTATGTGAAATGTGAATTACGGATTCCTTACACACAGAAATGTTTAATATTTTGAACTTTGGAATTTGATTTTTTTCTCATTAACAATGGAAATTCATGCAGAATTCCATGTGAAAAAATTTATGTAGTTGACTTAACTTTACAAACTTTGAAGGGGATGTGTTAATAAATTAGCAAAATAGAAAATATCTCACTTGTTTAAAAATATCAGTAGAATTATCCACAGGAATTTGGTTGTCACATTTTTCTTCTACTTTACAGCAGCTAGGTGGCACTAGTCCAAAGTGTTCCTTACCCCAGGGTGTATTAATCCAGTCTTTGTAACTAGAGATCCCACAGCAATCCAGCTGAAAATACAAAGCACAGTAAAACAAAACTAAGAACACAGATTGTAAATAGCTGAGTTTATATTTGAAGGTGAAGTTGTTAAACATATTCAAACTTAATTGTTTCATTTACAAATATCTTCAAATTTTATGCTTTTATAGTTGTTTTATTTACATTAATATATAAACAAAGTGATAAAATTAGTGCAAAAATTAATGAGCAACACTGCATGTTGACAAAGAATAGATTTTAAAAACATTTAATTTAGCAAAGAACATTTATAAGAGAGTTGGCCAAAAGAAAATAAGAGTTTGAAAGAATTAAATTTATTAAAGAATCACTTAAAGAAAACTATAAGCAAAAAAGTTATTACGTTTTTCTGCAAACCATCAATTGCATTATTTGTCATTGCATACTCTTTATCACCATAGTGTTTAAGGGCACTGTGCAGACCATCTTGAAATCCATTCTCCAGCTAGAAAAGAAAGTAAATAATATAAATAGCTATTTATACATACATACAAGCTTGTTCTAGTAATCATTTTTTAGAGGATATCAAGAATGATTTCTTGCTTAATAGCCACAATTTTGATTTTATCACTTTGATAAAGTCTAAATATACAAAAATTTAATTGTAATATCCTAAACATAGCATTGAACAAAATAGTTTTATTTAACAATTTCTTTTTTTCAGATATATATTTAGTCCACCACTCATAAAAAAAATAGGTTCACTGCACTTTTATCATAAAGTCTAATTGGTTTACTGAGACAAAAGAAGAGAGAAAACTTACCTTGGTTTTGAAGATGAAGCCAGTAATGCCAGAACTCAGTTCAATCACAAATACAACCACTAAAAATACAGAATACTGCAAGAAAAAATATGCAAAAATAGACTAGAAAACCACCAAAATATTAATTTGTTCCTGCATTTTTTATCAAAATGTCTTATTTTTATTCTGAAGTGTAAAGTTGGAAATATATTGTTTTGCAGCAACCTAAAAAGAGGCTCACTTTTCTGCCATTTAAGTTGAAAATCTGATTATTTATTAATACCATGGAAATACTCTTTAGAACAAAACTTTGTCATGAACTGACCAATTCATATAACAATAATATAGCTAAGAGATTCACTGAGTTGAACTAATATTAGTGAATATGTTAGTACTGACACCAACCTCAATATTGTACTAAAAAACTGGTAAACTTTAAACCTGTTTAAAGTATTAGGTTGCAAGGAAGGTTCTGTCTGAGTTTAGAGGTGAAAATATTGAACAAAATTTATTAAAGTATTGCCACTTTATAATGTTCAGTAAAAGATATAAATTACTCATAAGAGTAATTTATATTCTTTCAGTTTACAAGAATATTATTTATAATACAGTTTGGAACATGCTCCTATGTTGAGAATGAGGAGGTGGTGGTTGTTAATAATAATAATAATATTATACTTCAAACATTAAGTGCAGCAGATTAATATACAAAAAAAAAACAATCTAAACCTGATTAACAAAAATGCACAGCAATAGGCAAATTTACTACATTTATTTCTAGTTTGTAATATGAATCTAAATATAATAAAGAATATTAGTTTTAGTGTCAAAATTCTCTTGTTCATTTACTGATTAGTAGATTGACTAGTATTGCACACTACATATCCATTTAATCATTGTTGAATACCTTTTATTTAATATTAAGCAAGTTATAAAATATGTTACAATATTAGTTAATGTTAATATATTTTTAAAAATGAAGACATTGTTGTAAGAAATACTTTAAAATAATTTAGCATTAGTTTTAATCTAATACTTTTTAACTGTTGAATAATAAAAATAAAGATGATGTAATATTTATTAAAGATCCATTTTTTTTAATCCATTTCATCTAAAGTGTATTTGACAACAGAATGCAATCTCATTCGGCTACAATTGTCTTACAGTTTATATACATAATATACTTAACAATAATTTCACAAGTTTTAAATGATTTTGCAATCTTGAAAGCCAACATCATTCAAAATACAATGCAATCCTATTAACTTAGTATATTAGAGGTTCATGATCACTCTTATCATAAAAACAAAGAAATTTAAATCTGTCAAAACAGATTTGACATAACAGAAAAAAATTAAAAAGTTACCAAACATTTTCTGTGTGGATTTATTAGGTAAAATTCATTAAAATGTAAAGTTATTTATGAAGTAATCATATAATTTTTGTGTTGCTTTGTGAATAAACAGGATAACTATGGCAGTGAAGATTTCCCAAATCTCTCTTGTTTGTACAATTTAGATTTTACAATGTTCATTTTATTATATTAATGTTGTGTTACTCAACAAACCTGTTTTTCTGATTTTTTTTAATCATCAAAATATTTACAATATTCAGTGCTATTAGAAATTTGGCAGAAAGCTTGTTTTTGTTGAATCAGCTTTTCCTTTCACAATACAATAAACATAACAAAAACTACATAGCTTTTATAAAATATGAAGATTATAAAAATTTCTGCAATAACCAAAGCAAATTATAAGTCATAATTTGATGATAATCTCAAACTGAAAGAGGAAAAGTTTTTAATTCTTCTTCATTTGACTTCAAATATTTTTATATAAAAATACTTAATGTCTATTTTCAGCATCTTATTTTCATAAGAAAATTCTAAAATGGAACACTGATCAAGTGATGGAATGTACACTGTAAAATGTAACAATATTCTGTCAATAAAAAAGAAAAGAAAAAAGGAATAAATACCACATAAAGCAAAAATGAGTTGCCCTTAACAGTACAGCAGCAGCCAAGGGAGCCAACAAGGACAATAACAGCACCAACTCCAATCAACACATAAGGGACCTCCTTATAATAAAGGCTGGACAGTTCCATATAGATGTACAATTGAACTTTGGTCCATATTCCAATTGCAAGAATGGTGATGCCAGTAATCTGAAAATATATAAGTATTCAGTATATTCTTCCAGATTCTTCTCAGAGCAGAATGAACAGAAAACAAAATTTCTATAGCTTCAGGCTGCAATCAAGTTTCTGATTAAGCTTAGCAATAACATTTTTAATAAGTTGATAATTAAATGAAACCCAAAAAAGGACCTTAACATATTTTGAAGGAAAGAAAAAAAAGGATTCAATTGATTGAATGAGTCAACTTTTATACCAAATTATATTGTAAGTCATTCCCTTTTCTGCATATTTCAGTAAAGGAAAAAAGCAACAGATGCATTGGCCTATTCTGAAACAACTTATCAATCCAATGTTATTTACTGGTTACTTCTAATGTATTGAAAACTGATTTCTTTTAAGTTAAAATATATTTTATGTTAAAAGTATTGGTTCAAAATTGAAGCACTACAATCACACATTTCAAACCGTTTTTTTCAGTACCTTGATGAAAAGTTCATTGCATCTTGGGATAGGCCAGAAATTCAACATGCTGATTCTTTCATTAACAAGGTATTTGATCATATGCAGAGACCTAGACAATGGCATTTTTTTAAAGCAAGTAAACCTTAAGTTATTAATTAAATTCAAAATGAACACTTTTCCTTTTTTTATAATGTTACGTTTTTCACATTTTTTCTTTGCCAGACAGTTATTTGATTTTTATTTGATTGTTTGAATAAACTTGTAAAATTTTACATATTTTTATTTCAGTCTTAGCAGTTTTGTATAGTATCTATTTTTTGGAACATTTCTACCTAAAATGTCATATATTAAACAATTTGGAATTTCAGTATTACAGGTTAAAAATGGATTTAAAAGTAAAGTACATGTGCAACTGAATAGTTGCTTATCCAAACACAAAGCAACAGATTAAAAAAGTAAACTGTAAAATCTTTATTACTAAAAATGTTTTTAGTTGAAATGAATTTAAATTAAATTTAGTAATTTTTTGTGATTGATGCAAAATGATATATCATCATTAAAAAATGGCTGAAAGTCAATGTAAATTTTTACATTATAGTTACATTGTAAATAGATACAAGAACTTTTCAGAAAAATAGCTAAAATAGTGTTTTGACATAAATTAAAAATATGCATCCTGTTTGAATTTGGTGAAGATCTATAAAATCATGGCCTATGTAGACACAAACATTTTCCATCTGCTAAACAAGATGGTTGGGATCTGAAATTGATATATCAGTAAGAACTGGATCACCATTGAATTCAGTGATCAATTACTTTAAGGAATTGATTTAAAAATAATACCACTGAAACCAACTATCTAGCTAAGATACATGGATGACATATTCATCCTCTGTGATCAACAGGAAGATGTACTAGCACTGCTGGACTATATGAACTTAATAAAACCAATAGCAATGGAAACAGACTATAAACTGGCTTTCAGGGATATATTAATAATTCATACAAAGTAGAGGTTGAAGACTTCTACATAAATTATAAGCCAACAGTCACTGGATAATATCTGAATTTCAATTTCCACCCTCCATTAATGCATAGAAAGTGATCACCCATTGTCTACAATATATAACCAAATTCACAAGTAGCAACCCAGATACATACCAAGACGTCACAGAGTGTTGCTACACAAATTCTCCTATAGTATCTCTGGTAGAGTCCTTGCAATTATCAAGTCCTTTATCCATGAAGTTTGTTGTTAATGGCTAGTCTTCTGAAGCCCATCAGATCAATGCAAGTGTATCTCAAGGCATTCTCTTTGGTTTTACACACTGCTTTATATTAAGGAACTGCTTAAGAACATTTTCAATTCATTAGTAAATATCTATGCAGATTATACCACAGTTTATGAATGCAGCAACAAAATCAAGATCAGAACCTGGCAGCTGATCCCTCATTTGACCTGGCTCTAACAGCTCAATGGGAAAAATCTGGCTTGTAACATTCAATACCTCCAAAGCCTTGTAACATTTCATCATAACCCAGAAGACCCTGAATTTTCTGTAGACATGATGAAGGGTTATATTCTAAATGATGCTCCTTGATTTGAATATCTAATGGGACTCAACTTCATCCCAGACTAAGTGGAACTCATATATACAATCCATCACTAAAAATGCTGGAAAATGGTTGGCTCCTTATACCACTCCAGAACGTATTTGATTCCTCATGCCATGCTAGATCTTTTCAGATCAGACCAAAAATGGAGTTTTGCCAATACATCTAGGTTAGAGCTTCTCAATCCTCTCTTTCCAGCCTTGACAAAGTTTAAAAGTGTCATTGTAGCCTTGTGAGTGATTAATTACTTTCCACCCTACAAACACAATGTTGTAACCATATTAAGAACATGATCAAGACATGTGCATAGCATTTCATGCAGCAGTTATGGCAGGAATTATAATTATGGTCTAATCTGAATAAAGACTATGAAATCAAGAATGGTTGATCAGGTGTGAAAAAAAAATGGGAAGTTTCACCAGCCTCTATAGAACATAGAAATCAGAATATAGAAAAACAATGAAGAATAAAGCACATATGCTCGGCTCTCATTACCCCTTCAGTAGACCTTTCATAGAATTAAACTGAGGTGATGGAATAACCTGCCATCCCCATGAGTGGCAGCACTATAGGTGGTAACCACCTATAAGTATCCGTGAGGACAGCGGACAGGAGAGTCAAGCTGGGATCTGCGAGAACTAGCAGCCTCCCGATAGCAGCACATGCATGACTGTGCTGACTTGCAATGACCATGCACATAACTATTACTTCCTTGCTTGTTGTACTGGTTTCTATAATAAACCTGTTTTTATTTATCCACCGTGTTTGTCCATTCCATATTCCTATTAGCACGGAATATAACAAACATTACATGGGAGCCTTTGATCAGGAAAGAACAGGCATTAGAGTTAAGGCTTCAAGATTACACCATCTGAATGTTCTAGGGAACAATAACCTAATGAATTTAAATATTGGTTTATGCAGTTTACCTGGTAGTTGTTAGTTCAATCCCTAGGCCAGACAGTGAAATCAAGTGAAATAAAAACAGCCAACCACCATAGATTAAATGAAGAAATTAGTTAAAAATTCCAAGAATATTATTGAATACCATAAATACTTGAATTTAGTGGGTATAACAGCTAGAATACCGAGACTATAGAAACAGTTCAAATAAATTTGGGAAAGAGTTATCATGAGAGTAATGAAAAAAATAATTTTCAAGAAGTTGCATACATAAATTTCTTATACACAAGATTGCTACTTATACTCTTTTGGTTTTAAATGTTTTATTAGAATTTAATTTCAGAAAGAAGCTATAGTTTTTCAAAATTTAAAGTTTATATCAGTTATAGCAGTTACTAGAAATATATTTAGATTTTTTAACATAGCTTATTTATTGCTTCATGTTTGAAACAAACACAAAAACATATCATCAGCAATTTTATCAGGTGACAAAGCATGTAGTTTTTGTTTTTCTTTTTTATCAGTTTTAAAAAAGATAAACCCTTCAAATGGTAACAGTAAGTATTGTCAGTAACATGAAACCTAAACACAGTATTTACTAACATAACTTTCAGAAGAATATACTTGCATACTTATAGTTGTAATGAGTAAACTCAAGATGGTATTCTAAAATTTGATTGTGAAAGCATTTATTACAAAAACATGTTTTAAACATGTCAAATGTTTACATTAAAGTTCAATACCAGCAATGAAACTATGCTTATAAATGCACTATGTAAAAAAGGCACATTAAGAAAATGGGTACCCTTTGAATAAACTTTTTTGGCTACTTAGATTTATTAAAGTAAAAAATGCATAAACAAAGAAAAACTAACAATCTTACAATGTTTCTCAAATAAATCAAAAGGTTTAAAGTCATTAATAATCTTACAGAAATGATTAGTGTTTAAGAAGTGATGATGTTTTTTTATAGATTGTTTTAATTAAAAAATAAAAAATACCATTTACATGTGATAATATTGTTACATATTCTACTGATAAACAACATAAAAAACGCCTGCTAGCGATGGGTTTGCTAAAACTTGCAGTATCAATAATAACTAGAGACTGAAAAGCACAATATTTCAATTTATTTCTTGACAACTTAATTGTTGGAATCAAAACTACATAAAGACAGTAAACAGTGTTATTATTTAATAGTAATATCATTTTACTTTTTTTTCTCTTTATATTTTCATTATTCTGACACAAATGGTAATGACAGCATATATTTATGCTGAAGAATACAAATAAGATTAAAGTCAAGTCCAATTCTTAACAGTTCTATAAATTCATCTGGAGTAACAATGTTAATCTGTTGGGATGTTTTTTTTTTTTAATGTAGAGAGGTAAAATATAAACTTTAGTCATTGTTTGAGCCAAATTTATTTCATTTTTAAAATTTCACGCCTGCTCTTGAATTATAGCAAATGTGATTAAATGATAAGTATAAATAAAACAAAATATATTAAACAAGTTCTCAACCTGACACATTTTCTCAAATCAGTATTTCAATTGCCAAACCCCCAAAAAACTAATTTTGAGAAATAGATCAGGCCAATAATTCTTTAGCATCTCTTCATATAGTAATTAATAATAAAATAAAAGTTTTTAATTGCAACAGAATAAATATTATAGCAAATTATTTAACAATTAGTTGGTCTGTTTAATCTTTTGCTAAAGATCAAAGTTTGGTACTGTAGTTTAATTTACTTTAAATTAAGTAATAGTCTTTGTTCCTATAGTCTGCTTGTTTAGACTTCCTAGCCTTCTCTTCCACCATCTATTTGAGCCAACTGATCAATTGGTAAAAATCCTGAATAGGTTAAAGCTGAGTGACAAAGGTTCTTCAGGCAACAAAGAAATTGATGCAAGAAAAAGCTTTGGCTTTTATAGAACTCCACTGGGTGATCTTATTCCAATTAACAGGAGTAACATTTCCATTAAAAACTAAAGTTTCTTGTTGGTTGACTGAAGGTTGTGAGTTCAATTCTTGTGGTGGGCAGTAC